GGGGGGTGCGGGGGGTAGTGAGTGAGAGCTGTAGGGAACAGGTGGAGAGAGCGAAAGGGCTTGGGAGAGGAGGAGGGAGCAAGAGTTGGTGGGGGAAGGAAGCGAATGGTGAGGGTGGAGTGAGTGAGAGTGATGGGGGAAGCCAGGGTCTGTAGGAGGGAGTGAGAGGGGAAGGAAGGAAGGGAGGGGGGGTGTTGGGGGGGGCATGGAGGAAGCAGTAGAGAGGATGGAGGGAGCGAGGCTGAGGGAGGGTGCGGCATCTTTACAGTGACCGTCCTAAGTGCCTCTTCTCTCGAACTGAGCCTCATTGTTAGTGAGAATGAATGAAGGGGATACTGTAGCTGCCTCCCCCCGGCCTCTGTGTTGGGGTTTTACAGGGTTAACGGAAACAGAATGGGGGCTGGGTACAGGGGAACTGTTGGCAGATTTGGAAAGGGGGTGGGGCAAGGAAAAAGGCCTGGGTGTCCTCGACAACAAGGTATAGAGCTGGATGAACACAGCAGGCTAAGCAGCATCATAGGAGCAGGAAGGCTGACGTTTTGGGCCTCGACCCTTCATCAGAAATGGGGGAGGGGACTAGATCGGATTGAAACTGTCGCTGAGGGGCGACAGCGTGTGGGTCAGCTCCCATGGGAAGGGCTTTTATTCCTTACGAAGCTCAGCTTGTGTTTTAAAACTGTCAGAGAGGACTCTCATCCAAATGGATACGTTTTATTTCTGTATATTTTTAGAAAGTACCATGTCAGACACCCTGTTCCCTTTGTCAAATTGCAGGGGGCGCGGGGTGAAGGACAGTCTGAGTTGGTTGTAGACTGGGGGAGCTTGTTGGTGAATCTACCGGGGGAGGGGGAAGTGAGTGAGTGGGAGGTTTCTCCCTGACGTTAGTGATATTGATCTGAGCTGAAGTGGGTTGTGTTTGCCTGGCGACAGGACCAGCGCCCGCCCCCCAGACATAGCCGTGAAGTGATCCCTGCCCAGGGCTGTCCCAACACGGCGACACGTTTCTTTCCCTGCGGTGGGGGTTATACCAGGCGAATGGAGCTTCACAGACATGACCAAGACTGAACCTCCCACTGTGACACAATCTGCCCCAGAGGAGCGGGGACCCTGCCGGGAGGGGGGTCAGGGGAGAGAGAGATGAGACACAGATGGATGGAGAGAGAGAGACACCTTGCGCCTGATTGATGGGGCTAACACGGGTGTCCTGGGTGGCGGGGGCCTGTTAAGCCCTTGCCCCCGATCATCTTAACCCACCCTCCCCCAAATCTCCAAACCCTGCCATGGGGTGGGGACTGAACTGTGCAGAGAGAAGCGACAGGAGCCGGAACATTTATATCTCATCATCGTCAATGAAATTGTGTGAGCTACAATCCTGTAGACTCAGTGCACCTCGCCCCCCACCCCGAATAATGGGCTTTCATCAGCCAAATGCCCCTGCTCCCTCTCGGCTGATAGCCCGCACTGCCCAGAGCTGCTGGGTGGCTCGCTTGCGCCTCCCCCTGGTGGGTGACTGGCTGTGTCCAGGTAGCTCGGGTCCTGCTGTGGCGAGCTGGATGTGACGCGGGTTCTCTCGCTGTTCATTGTCCCCTCCTGCCACCACCGACTTTAACCACCTTGTCCATCCCCTTCAGACCCACTCAGCCAGCTGGATCCAAATTCTCCCGGAGCATTTTGTAAAACCCCCGCAGGTGGGGAGGGACAGAGAAGGGAAATGATGATAGCCCTTGCCAAACCTGTACGTGCGGCATCTGTATTGATCAGTGTGGGATCTTCCCTGCCCAAATTCTCTGCAGTTCTCTATCCTGCCTTTGGGGCGTACTGAACCTGCACTATGAGCAAAACCTACACGGAGTGTGTGTGCTAAACTTTTAAATACTGAGACCAGTCATTCAGCACAAAGCCTAATGCTATTTGTTGTTTACCTTTAATTATAGACTATTTTAAATTTAAAAAAAAAATCACTCCTGTTCTGTCCTTTCCCAAGAAGCTGGAGATTATTTCAGATTCTTGGATCTGTATTTAGAATGTTTAATAAATAGAATGAAGAATAAACTCTTCCAGTTCCAAATCCTCTGCTGCACTGGGATTGCAGAGAATGCCCTGTGTCTGAGGGAGCAGGAGAGAGTGTGTGAGGGAGCAGGAGAGAGAGTATCTGAGTGAGAGAGATGGTGTCTGGTGTCTGAGCGAGAGAGACAGTGTTTGGTGTCTGAGTGGGAGAGAGAGTGTGTCTGAGGGAGAGGGAGTGTGGCCTGGATGAATTGCATCCCAGACTGCTGTGGGAGGTGAGACTGGAAATTGCAGGGGCTCTGACACAAAGTTTTAATTTCTCTCTGGCCACAGGGGAAGTGCCAGAGGACTGGAGATCGGCTGATGTGGTTCCACTTTTTAAGAGAGGTGGTAGAGATGAACCACGAATTTACACACTGGCGATTCTCATGTCAGTGGTAGGGAAACTATTGGAGAAAATTCCCACTTGGAAAGGCATGGGTTAATTCGGGATAGTCAGCATGGCTTTGTCAGAGGGAGGTCATGCCTAACACATTTATTAGAATTTTTTGAAAGCGTGATCAAGTGTGTAGATGAAGGAAGTTCAGCTGATATAGTTTATATGGATTTTAGCAAAACGTTTGACAAGTTCCTACATGGGAGACTGATTGAGAAGGCTAAAGCACATGGAATTGAGGAAAACTTGGTGAGATGGATCAGAAACTGGCTTAGTAATAGGATGCAAAGGGTAATGATAGAAGGCTGTTTGAGTAACTGGAAGCTGGTGTGCGTGTTGTACCACGAGGATCAGTACTGGTACCCTTATTGTTTGTTATATTCATAAATGATATAGATGACAATGTGGGGGGAATGTTAAACAAACTTGCAGATGACACCATGATTTGCAGAGTGGTTAATAGTGAAGATGGTTGTAGGTTACAGGAAGATATATACTGGTTGGTCAGAGTAGTGGCAGATGGTATTTAATCCTGATAAGTGTGAGGTCATGAACTTTGGAAGAAGAAACAAAATGAGGGAGTATATAATGAATGGTAGGACACTGGGTAGCTTAAAGGAACAGATAGATCTTGGGGTAATTATTCACAGATCCCTGAAGGTGGGCAGAGCTCGTGAATAGGATGATTAAGAAGGCATATATGGGACGCTTGCTTTCATCAATCAAGACATAGAGTATAAGAGCAAGGAGGCAATGTTGAAATTGTACAGGATGTTGGTTAGGCCACAGCTGGAGTACTGTGTGCAGTTCTGGTCACCTCACTACAGGATGTGATAGCACTAGAGGGGGTAGAGGAGGTTCACCAGGATGTTACCTGGGAGAGAGAAATTGAGCTTTAAGGAGAGACTAGATAGGGTTGGACTGGGAGGGGGTTGGAACGAGTGGGATGGGGGAGCAATTGGGATTGGTGGAGGGGGATGGTGACAATGGGGTTATGAGGGAAGGAGATGATTGGGATGGGGAAAATGACAGGGGGACTGGGGACAATGGGGGGGTGGGGGATGATGGGGAGGGAGGGGGCGATTAGCATTGGGGTGACAATGATGTGGGGCGGGGCATATGATTGGGTTGTGGGGGGAGAGGTGCTTTGGGATTGGGGGAGGGTGACAATTGAACCTTCTGAGGAAGGGTCACTGCACTCGAAATGTTAACTCTGCTTTCTCCCCATAGGTGTTGCCAGACCTGCTGAGTTTTTCCAGCAATTTCTGTTTTTGTGTCTGATTTCTTGCATCTGCAGTTCTTTCAGTTTTATTGTTTATTGAGCAAACTGAGGGAGCTGTGGTCCCCAGGTCCTGATGGACTTCATCCCAGGATCTGAAAAGAGCTGGCTAATGACACAGTAGAAGTGTTGGTGGTCATTTTCCAAAGTTTCCTGGATTCTGGGAAGGGAGAGGGAGGCAGAAACTAGTTGGGTTGACAGTCGGAGATAGCAAGAACTGCAGATACTGGAGTCAATGTCAATACAGCATGGAGCTGGAGGAACACAGCAGGTCAGGCAGCATCAGAGGAGCAGGAAACTGGATGTTTTGGGTTGGGACTTTTCATCACCATTGTGTTACTGTGAGTATGGTGTTGGAATCAATCATTTGATCACTCGATCACTGTGGAACTCTGTGTATCAGAAATTGTTGGAAGCAGGGTCAGGGAATGTTTGTGAAGCCATAGTAGCTGGATGGGAATCTGAAACACAGAACAACCAGGATTTTATTGAATGGTAGAAAAACGGTCCTCCTGCATCAGAACATCCAGATCCTTCTGTACTGCCTGCCTTTTAAAGCCACAGGTGGGGCCCACCTCCAGAGTCGGGGGGTCGCGGCCCCTTTAAAATTCAAGATCACGTGGATGTGACGAGGGTGCCCCGCCCACTCGCCAGGCAGACGCTGATTGGTCCGTGGTATGACCCCGGAAGTAGTTCCCTCTTCTCATTGGAGATGCAGAGCTGGTGCCTGGTTAATGAAGGGATGTCTAGTTAGTGAGGTGTTATCACTGGTTAGTGAAGTTAGCAGTAGTTAGTGAGGTGTTGTCACTGGTTACTGAAGTTAGTGAGGTGCTATCACTGGTTAGTGAAGTTAGTGAGGTGTTATCACTGGTTAGTGAGGAGTTATCGCTGGTTAGTGAAGTTAGCAGTAGTTAGTGAGGTGCTATCACTGGTTAGTGAAGTTAGTGAGGTGTTATCACTAGTTAGTGAGGTATTATCACTGGTTACTAAGGGGATATCCAGGCAAGGAGGAAGTCAGCATCTCTGCAAGTTAATGAGAGATTATCCAGTTAGTGATGGGGTGATTATGATTAGTTAGTAAGAGGACTGGTAACTAGTTAGAGCAATGCTGGTTATTACGAGGAGGCACCTCGTCACTGAAGGATTATGTTAGTAGTTAGTGAAGGATCTATAACTTGCTATTGAAGAGTTACATTATTAGTAATTACATTATGATTAGTAAGGACCTGGTTACAAAGTGAGAGACAGGGTGTGCTGCTGGTTAGTGGGGGGAGAGAGAGAGTGTCAGCCTGTTCCAAGCTGCTATGTCTGAGCGTGATGAGAGGAGATACGTGGAGCTCAGTCGGGAGTCGGTCAAGCTGATGGGTGAGAGTGTGGGGCTGGAGCTGGGTGATGAGATCAGTGCTCTGCTGGCTGAGGATGTGTGTTACCGACTGCGAGAGACCACCCAGGTAAGAGTTGCGAGGCGGGGGGAGTCACAGACCAGGCAGGGGCCTGCAGTGACTAGTGTGCATGGGCGGAGAGACCACAGGGTCCTTAGGGCAGGGTTTGTGGTCTGGGGCATGTGAAGCAGCCTCCTCTCAGCAGAACCCTGTTGTTGGCTCTTTCAGAACGGCACCCAGTTCATGAGGCATGCCAAGCGCAGACGCCTGACCGTGGAGGACTTTAACAGGGCACTGCGATGGGCTAATGTGGAGGTAGGTGTGAGGGATGGCGTGTGGGCGAGGGTAGATTTCAGTGTAGCAGGGGTATAGTGCGGCGCTCCCTCGGCGCTGACCCTCCGACAGTGCGGCGCTCCC